GGTGTCTCTCTGGAGACTAAGGTGCACCAGATACAGGCCATGGTCTTTGCAATCACTTGTTATGCATCAGAGAGTTCGAAAATGACTAGGGAGGACAGAAGGGGAATTGATGCCTTTGAGCTGTGGTGCTGGAGAAGAGTATTGAATGTACCATAGACTGACAAGAAGACAAACCCTACAGAGGGTTAAACTGGGCTACTCCTTAGAGGCAAGGATTCTGGGTCTTCGTCTGACATACTTTGGGCTTGTTGCAAGGAGGGACGGATCCTTGGAGAGGGACAGCATGCTTGAGAGGTTGGAGGGCAGGCGCAGGAGGGGAAGATCCTCTATGAGATGCATTGATTCAGTGACTGGGGTAATTGAGATGGGTGTGTCAGAGGCAGTGAGATTGGCACAGGATAGAGCAGGATTTAGGGCTGTTGTAAACACGACTCGACGGTACATAACAACAACAATAACAACAACAACAACACCAACAACATGTTTTTTAGTGAATCCTTTAAGATTCTTCATGAATATTTTTCTTTTACCTGAGTTTTGGAAATGCCCTTTTAATAATGCCTCCTGTAACTAATGATTCTCACTCAAGCTTAGGCTGACCCTATTTACTCAGGGACTGAAATGAAAGTCTCCAAGTTGACTTATCCTCAAACATTTTCTCTCTCAGGGTCATATACAGACTTTTTTGGGGGGACTTTGCTCTAACTGAAACTTCCCGTTATAGATGTTGGCACTTTGTAGAAGTTTAATTTTTATTTGTTGAATGAATGTAAGTACAAGTAAATGAATGAGGAAAAAACAATGCAAACTCCTAATCTTCTTTCTAGAGATAAAAACATATGGTGAAAGAAGTCTTGGGCGAAGAATCAATAGAGCAGAACTTCTCTAAATTTATTGGTCTGTATGAGTCCTGCTCACAGCCCTAAACAGAGGAGATGGGTTACAGTCAGCATATATCTGAACACAGCTGCAGTGAGGGTTTCTGAGAGACTCACTTACGAGAAATCCATCGTCAATGCCCTTTTAGTAAAAGAAACTTGCTCATATTTTCTGCTCCAAGTAGGAAAAACAGCATCCAGTGAATTTCTTTGTGCCTGTTGAGTTTACCTCCAGGCCAGTTTTCTTTGGGTACTAACTCCTTTGAATACACCCAGATTCTTAGATTCTACTTAGATTAAGAATTCTTTGCTTAATTTTATTTGCTGAGATTTAGTTCTTTTCTTCAAGCTTTTAAATTTTTCCTCAAGAGCAGTTCAGTATGTGTATTTTACTGGGAAAAATATTTAACACTTTATTTTAACAGACTCCCATCATCTTGGTCTTAGAAACTGACAAGTGATGGTCAACTGATATATGAATTAGCTTTGTTGCCAAGATATAGTGTACTCCCTGTATACACACAGAATCAGTGAGTTTATAAATATATCAATATATGATCTAACCTTTTAAATATGTATAAGTATATAATCTGAAGCTTAGATACAACATAGTAAGGGTGTCTGACTAGACACTAGATTTACTCCTACAACTTAGGGTTTCAATGGTGGTTTAGTGGTAAGGAATTGTGCTGCCAATGCAAAGGTAGATGGTTCAGATCAACTAGCTGTCCTTGGGAGAAAGATGAGCAATATCCTTCCATGTGATTTTCTGCCTCTAAAAACCCACAGGAGGGTCAGTTACAGGTCAGTTCTGACTTGATGGTAAAACAACAACCACAAAAACATCTCTTCCTCTAGTTTATTTAAGATTAATATTCTCCCTCTCTCTCTCTAATTATTAGAAATATATTTATCTCCAATAATATTCTATGTACTTTCATAGAAGAACAGGACTAGAGATCTTAAATTGAATAATAGGTAATTGTTGTTGTTGTGATGTACAATTGAGTTAAAACCAACTCATAGCTGACCCTCTAGTTGGTTTTTAGAGGCTATAAACAGCACAGGAGGAGATTGCCCATCTTTCTTCCATGAAGTGTTTGCCATCTACCTTTGGGCTGGCAGTGCAACTTCTTTACCCCTCAGACACGAGAGTTCCCTCTGCAATAGAAATATAGGTAAGAGAGAGTAAAAAAACTTTTTTTCTTATCTATCATCACAGGGCATGATCTCTTCCTCCAGAGAAATCTGCTTCCTTCACTCATCATGCCTTCCTTCAACCAGAGCAATTTTTACCCTTCAGTGTTTTTCCTTACTGGAATCCCTGGTCTTGAGATTTCACATGCCTGGATATCCATCCCATTCTGTTGTCTATATGCCATTGCTTTGTCTGGAAATGGCATGATCTTATTTGTCATTATCACTGAATCAAGCTTACATGAACCCATGTACTATTTCCTCTCCATGCTATCTTTCACTGATCTAGGTTTGTGCCTGTCCACATTGGTCACTATGCTGGGTATCTTCTGGTTCAATGCTAGAGAAATTAGCTTTGATGCCTGCATTGGCCAGATGTTCTTTATCCATGGGTTCACATTCATGGAATCGTCAGTGCTCCTGGCAATGGCCTTTGACCGCTTTGTGGCCATCTGTAATCCATTGAGATATGCCACAATCTTAACCAACTCACGGATTATCAAAGCAGGATTTGCAATTGTCATTAGAGGAACAACAGCTCTGGTGCCATTACTTCTGCTCCTTAAGCGTTTGTCTTTCTGCAGAAGTCATGTGCTCCACCACTCCTATTGTTTCCACCCAGATGTGATGAAGCTTTCTTGCACAGACACCAAGATCAACAGTGCATTTGGCCTGGCCATTGTCATCTCTACTGCTGGCATAGACTCCGTCTTAATTCTCCTCTCCTACATCCTGATCATCCGCTCTGTACTCAGCATTGCCTCCCCAGAGGAGCAGAAAAAAGCCTTCGGTACCTGTATCTCACATATAAGTGCAGTTGCCATCTTTTATATCCCTATGATAAGTCTGTCCTTGGTGCACAGGTTTGGGAAACATGCTCCACCTTATGTGCATACGCTCATTGCCAATGTCTATCTGCTCATTCCACCTGTAATGAACCCCATCATCTACAGTGTGAAGACCAAGCAAATTCGCAAGGCTGTACTCAAAATATTCCTCTCAAAGAGGATTTAGGAAAGCTTCAGAGTATTCTTTCTCCCTAAAGTCTTCCCTGATTCATGTTTGGTCATTCACCTGTTTGATTTACCGTTACACCATGAAAAAAAAAATCTGTTGATCCAGTTGTTTGTCTATTTCATTTATCCATTTGCTTACTTTTACATAATTTTAAACAGAGAATGCTTTGAACCAGGAACTCTCATCACTATGTACCTCTAATCTTAATTCTAATACTGTACTAGGTGCAGAGCTGTTACTATGGGCTATAGAGTTGACTGCAACTCATAGTGATACTGTGAACCCTGGATCTGAATCCTGCCCTACTGCATGCTATTCTCATCATCTCTGATGCCCTTAGGCTCCTTGTTAGTTACTGTGTCGATCCATTTTGTTGAGGATCTTCCTGCCTTATATTGACCCTGCACCTTTCTAAGCATTATGTCCTTCTTCAAGTACTGGTCCCTTCTAACAACATGCCCAAAGTATGTGAGATGAAGTGTCACTGTGGTTAAAATATGCAGCAAAAGTATTAGCATATTAAAATGACATGTTGTGTCTAGACAGTTTTACCATCTTTAAAGTGTGTAGGTATAAAAGGTAAGAATTATATAGATAGGTGGAAAATTTTGGATTTTGGCAATTTTTACAGTTTGTTGATAGTTATTAATCATTGAACATAATGAATACATGAGAAAATACATCAAGAAGGTAAGTTACAGATAAAAAGAATATCTTTCTAGCTGTTAAAATAATTATTTGTATTATTTTGGTAATATAATACTAGTAATTTATCTTCTAAAGTAGGTAAATAGGAAAGTATGCAAATATATACAATGATATCCAACACATTAAATTTTGAAATGGTAATTTGGAAACAGCTTAAAATATTACTTTAGGGAATCATTTAAATAAAATATGAAAGATTATGCAACACACTAAATATTGCTATAAACTCAAGCTAAATTTTACTGTAAGTTCAAATTTTTATATTTTATGTAAAACTATAGATTGGAAACTTGGGTAATTTTTTAAAAGAGTTTATGTACATATTATATGTGAATATGCACACACGTACAAATTTAGATAGACATGTGAAAAGTACTTATCTCTTTGTATTTGTGTATTGTTCTGTTCAAATTTCTTTATATTTTCTTGTACTCTATAAATATTTAATAATGAGTTTTTTAACTTTTCAAATCTTAACAAATTTTCATCAAAATAATTCTCTCTCCTCAAAGAAAAATTCTCAACACTGGACTGATAGATTTAGAAAAAAAATTGAAACTTCATCTTGGATCCACAATCAGTACATTTGGTACAAGCAGTCAGATCAGGAGATGCATTGCAATAAGAGGTCCTGTAGTCAGGACCTCCTCCGAATTATGGAGTAGTAATGATGTCAGTTTGAGGGCTAAAGTATGCCTGATTCCATCCACGGTCCTTTCACTTACTATGCATCTATGAGCTGGACAATGAAAAGTGATTATGGAAGAAAAATTAATACCTTTGACCTATGCTGTTGGAAGAGAGTACTGAGTATCCCAAGAACATGCCAAAAATGCATATATATATATATATGTATGTCTTGGAGAATGTGCAGCCAAAGTGGTCCTTGGAGGCAAATATGATAAAGCTTCATCTTACATACTTTTTGCATGTTGCTAGAAGAGTTTATTCCTTAGAGAAGAACATGTTTGGAAAGGTGGAGGGATGGTTATGAAGCAGAAGATCCTCAACCAGGTGGATTAACACAGTGACTATAACAATGGGCTTGAGTTTGTCGGATATTGTGACAATGTCGCAGGGTAGCTGTGAATCATGCTTGATTTGAAGGTACCTAACAACAACAGCATCAACAATAACAACTCCTATGTACTTTTTTATAAATAAAAAATAAATTTTTTTTATGGTTTGCTTATAAAGTTCATATACATTGTGTTTCACACTATCTTTCATTCAAATTTTGTTTCCTAGAATCTCAATACACTTTTGTTATTCATCTTCCATGGGGTCTACAGACCTGTAAATTTTCCTATTCTTCCTTGTACCTAATGGGCACATTTCTAATATAATTTCCATGTCCCTTTTGTACTCATCAATACTTTCAGTGCTATCACATGTCAGGATGACTAGATGTTCTTGTTTACAATACAGATTCTTCAACATCATTCAGAACAACTTGATGAGAAAGTATTGAGATAGAATCCAATAACACGAATTTTAATAAAAATTAAATATAATGAGTTGTCACGGATGATACAGTAATAGTCTTCTAGAGTTTCAGCTAATATCCAGGTCTGAAGATGACATTATTCCTTTATTACTCGATGCTTATTAGTTTACTCTCTCTGACTGAAATATCCTCCCCCAACTTGTTTGGTTTTAATATCTATCTTTCCATTAATAAATAGTCCTTTTGGTGTAACCTTTCCCAATTTCCTCCATTAGGTTCCCATCCATTTTTGTCTGGAGATACCGTAGTGAATTGTGCTACTATTACATGAAAGAAAGTGAAGCTTGTATTTTTCTTTCTTTACTGACTTGAAATTTTTTAAAAATTGTATTTTGTAGATTGTTATATTGTTTACAGGCTCAAACACAGTGACTTATTAATAATACTTAATGTTTGCTTACTGAATTACATTTATTTCATCATAACTTTGTATATTATTGTTATGGTTACGTATCTTCGAGTTGGAACTAACCCATAGCTGACCGCCAGATAAGTTTTTAGAGGCAGTTAATTGTACAAGAGATTGCCCATATTTCTCCCACAGAGCAGTTGGTGGATTTGAATTGCATGCCTTAGGGATTGAAGCACAGCTTCTTGCTACTAGACTACCAGAGCTCCCTAGTCCTCTTAAACTTTTTTAGCATCTTTAGTAGCTTCCCAAACATAGTGGTAGGCACTAGGATTAAAGTAATGAACAACGAAAACACAGTCTATATTCTTGGAGTGTTTATAATCTGGCCAAAGATATCTAAATTGTAATGATATTTTAACTACTTCCTTATAAATAATATACTGTGAATTAAAAATTGTACCAGATATTGGTGTTATTAGCTGCCATTTGGCAGATTGTGATTCACAGTGATCCTATGGAAGGCAGATCTGAATCTTGCCCTATCTTGCACCATCCTGACCATCTCTGATATACTTTAGCCCATTATTATAGTCACTGGACCAATCTATCTTGTTGAAGGGCTTCCTCTGTATATCTCACCCTGTACTTTTTCCAGAATGATAACTGTTTCTAAGAACTGGCCCCTCCCAACAATATGGTAAAGTATGTGATATGATTTTTTTTTCATTTTTACCTCTAAGAAGCACCCTGGCTACACTTCTTTCAAGATGTATTTGTTTTGTCCTTTTGACAACTTATGAGATATTCAGTAATCTTCTCCAATACCACAATTCAAGGCATTGATTATTCTTCTGTCATTCTTATTTATTGCCAAAATTTCAGATGCTAAGAGGAGTCATACTATGATTTTCAAGAAGGATATGAACTAGTTAGAAAATGGTGGTGGTTGTTATGTGCCATCAGTTTGCCTACGACTCATAGTGACTCCACGTACAATAACTCTGAATCCTGTCCTATCCTGAGCCAGTCACACTGACCCTGACATACCTACCCCATTACTCCCAGTTATTGTGTCAATCCATCTCATCCGAGGTCTTCCTCTACTGCGTTGTCTTTGTTTTACCAGTTAAAACTCAGACTGTCCTAGATGATTAAAGATTTTGATGAACTAACTAATGACTTTTATTTCTTCTCACAAAAGGGACAAAATCCATGGCAGCAATGTTGGGGAAAAAATGTCTTTTTTATTTATTTTATTTTTAGCTAAGTTGGAAATAGTAAATACATAGCATGTGCATTGGAAGTTTTCACTCAAAATTTACTTTTAATGAGACATGTTGTTATTACATACCAGCAAGTCAGAAACTGATCCATAGTTTTGACTCCCGTCACCCATGGCCTTCCAGTGCATTTTCTGAGGCTGTAAATCACCTAAGAAGAGACTGCCCATCTTTCTCCTGCATAGATAGCATCAGGTGGATTTGAACCACCAGGTTGGCAGTGCAGTTCATGACCACTAAGCCACCAAAGCTCCCTGGTAAGACATAGGTTCAATGAAACATAAGACCTGTCACTAGCTGGATACTCTAAAAGTAAATGTTATGAAGTGGAAGAAGGTGACAGATGTGGTGGAATAAAGCCCCTGGGAAGCTTTGTCCTCTGGGGGCCACAAGAATCTCCATCAAATAGCCTGAGTCTTAACTTCTTAAATATGCACCTCTGCCTGGCTTCTCAGATCTTTTCCTGGAGAAGAAGGCAGGAAGGAATACACTTTCACACTGTAAGTAAAACTGCTACATTCAAGGGAAACATCAGGTTTTAGAAATACTGGCTTCCTTTAAGGAAAAAGAAGACTTTACTGACTACCAAGAACTGTCCTGGGGACCTGAGGAAAATTGTGGAAACTCTTCCCGATATTTGTATTATTTGAAAACAGTGAAATTTAATTCATCTATGAATAATTTATCTTCTTGCTCAGAGTAAATGGTTAACAGTCTCATGTAATTGATTTGTTATGAATTTTCTGATTAATAGTACCATACTTCAAGATAGCCACTTTAGGTCAGGGGCTACTACTGCTATTTTCCAATACCACTATCCTCTTATTCTCCTGTACCATTATCAAGGGCCTCTCATCTAACAGTCAGCATATTAGGTATGTTACAAGTGAGAAAGTCACTTGGTTAAGACTGAGAGTAGCCTCTACTTGCTGAAAACAATCCCCAGCATACAAGTAACAACAAATGGAGAGCTCTAAAACCACAAGGAACTAAAACAGTAATTATTTGAATAAGCTTGGCTGGAGATTCTAACTTCCAGAATGAACATACAAAATCCAGTCCTGGCTAACACCTTGATTTTAGTTTAGTGAGGTTCTATAAAATAAGCCAGCTTTGTATGCTTGGATTTGTGACATACTATGATAAGTGGGTATTGATTTAAGCAATTATATTCCTAGTAATTTTTTAAACTTGGCAATTTAAAACAAATACTATAGGATATGTTTTTCTCAAAAAAGAAGTGAGATTTCAACTTCAGGAATAAACCACTAAAGAAGACATGAGGGCAGAAATGATTGAAGAAGAACTAGACATATATTAACAAGAAAGTGAAATCCACACAAAAAAATAATTTTAAGTAATATAGTTTGGCCTTTTGTAGAGTGTAGTAGCAAACCCAGACTAAATGGTTCAGAGTGACAGTGCAGGACAGTGGAACTGCTGTGGAGGGCTTCCAGGACTGTAAATACGGCTGTAATAAGGACTAGACTGTCACAGCTTTCTCCCATGGAGTGACTTGTGACCTTCGGTTTGCAGCTGAGTGTTTAACCACTGTTTCACCAGGACCCCTTCGATTACGTAATGACACAAATCAGAATAATAAGAGAGGAAAAAAAGAACCAATTTATTAGAATTACTTTGCAGAGCAGAAAGAAAGTAATTCTGTTTCATTCATTCTTAACCAATGTTTAGGCATTGTCCAAACGTCTTACCTTTCTTAAAGTTATAATTTCCTATTCGCTGCTTGTTACTTGTCCAACATTAAGACGATTTATAACTATCATCTGCAGATGCTTTTGTTACTACTATTTGATGCTTTTAATCTTCAACATAATTACTAATCACTACTATATAAAACTATATTCAAATAAAATTTCATTCTTATATATCTCAATGTTTATTTATATACTTGTTTTTCTGAATTTTTAATAAAGGATTTTTATCTGAGTGTTATGGATAATTTAGTTTGATATTTCCAGTGTCTAGAACATGGTTTGGATTCTACCCACCATAATAATCTTTGACGTTATCTAAATTAAGGTTCACAAGTAACTAAGAAGTTAGGTGGTAGTAAGAATATTTTAGAAAAGAGTAGGAGTACTAATCAGGAAACAATGAATAAAAGGTAAGGAAAACAATGCAACAGAGGGAACAAACAAACAAAAATCAGAAAACCAAAGGAGGAGGCTATTACCCTTTGAACTTTGCCTACACCAATAATAAATGCATGTTTTTTTTCTCTCAGCTATCAGATAAGGACAAATCAGGAAGATGGTTGAAATAGAATTAGGAAAAGAAAAGAAGTACTAGCATAGCTTTTAAATGAAAATATTGTTTTCATTATGTATATGTAATATAAGTGATATCTCTTGTTGCCAATGAGTTGGAACTGTCTCTCCTCCTTGAGCCTCCAACAGGTTTTCAGATGTTATAAATCACATAGGAAAAGATTTCCCATTTCTCCTTCCATGTAGCAGCCGGTGCATTCAAACCATTTGCCTTTGGGTGGCGGTGTGACTACTTACCCACAAGGGAATGTTCATGATATTGGTGAGCATTTAGAGTAAGTTAACTACGTTACCACGCTTTTCACAAACACCTCAATAATTCTTTATCTGTTGTTGTTGATGAGCATGACTCATAGCAACCCTATGAACAAAACTCCTGCTTCCAAATTCTATATCTATCATTAATTTAGAGATAGCAAAACTGAGACACCCACAATTTTAATAACTTGTCAAATGAAACTACTAGATAAATATCAGGGTCCGTGTTTGAGCATGAAGTTAAAGCCTGGGATGCACAATAGTACTAAATTACCTGGAACACAAGGTTCAAATTCAGAACATCAAAATATCAAGAATTGTATTTATCTATTAATAATAGTTACCTATTATTATATCTATAGTATTCAGATTGCAGATCCTGTGTGTAATAAAGTGCTTAGCTGCCAAACGAAATGGTGTTTGCAATCCTCTCAGCTGCCTGGGAAGAAAGTCTTGGTGATTCACTTCTGAAAGATCTCAGCCTTTGAAAACTTCAGTCTTTAGAAAAACTCTATTCTGACAATCATAGAGTCAGTAGGAGTCAAACTCAGCTCCATAATAATTGATTGGTTGTTTCTTTTTGGTACTCCAGTTGCTGTACACTTGTTTTAAATTTTTATGTAGTATGAAAAATACTTGTGTATAGTTTAAGTTTTGCCATTGCAAATAGCATACTTTTCTAGGGAATTGTTATAACTACTTAACAGATAGTTGTTGTGTACTGTCGAGACCAAGCCAATCCATAGCTGACCCTCTAGTGAATTTTCAGAGGTAGTTAATCACATGGCAGGAGATTGCCCATCATTCTCTTGTGGAACATCTAGTTTACTAACAGATAGAGGCTCATTAAATATGAATTCTTTTCTAAGACATTAAACTTAATTGAAATAATGTATTCAGAAGATGAAGATATGGCTTCTTTTAAGCTGGAGAATTATTTTATTAGAATATAAGAAATGATATAATATTCTGCTGACATATACTATTTGGACATATTTTTACACTAATTTACTGAATTAACTTTACATCACAAAAGAAAAAGGAGTGCATCAGGGATGCATCCTGTCCCCATCCCTTTTTAATTTGTATGCAGAACAGATAATTTGAGAAGCAGGGCTTTATGAAGAGGAGTGTGGCATCAAATTGGAGGAAGACTCATTAACAACCTATGATATGCAGATGACACAGCCTTACTTGCTGAAACTGAAGAAGACCTGAAGCACTTGCTGCAAAAGGTCAAGGATTGTAGTCTTCAATATAGATTGAAGTTCAACATCAAGAAGACAAAGATTCTCCCTAGTGAGCCAATTGGCAGCACCATAATAGATGGTGAAAAGATTGAAGTTTTAACAATTTCAGCTTGCTCGGATCCACAATCAACACTCTTAACACCAGTAGTCAGGAAATCAAAAGATGAATTGCATTGGGAAAATCTGCTGTCATGGACCTCTCCAGAGTCCTGAAGAGCAACGATGTCAGTCTAGATACAAAGATGCACCTAATCCAGGCTATGGTCTTGTCAATTACTTGTTATGTTTCAGAGAGTTGGCCATTGACTAAGGATGACAGAGAAGAATAGATGCCTTCAAGTTGTGGTGCTGGAGAAGTCTTGAACATACCATGGACTGCCATGAAAACAAATCTATCTGTCTTGGAGAGGATGAAACCAAGTGTCTCTTTGGAGGCTAGAATTTTGAAGTTCCACATCACTTACTTTGGGCACATGGCCAGGAGAGATCGGTCCTTGGAGAAGGACATCATGTTTGGAAGGGTGGAGGGAAAGGGACACCCTGGATGAGATTGATAAAGTAACTGGGGCAATGGGGGTTGGTCGGTCAGAATTAGTGAGACTGGTTCAGGACAGAGAAGGGTTTAGAGCTGCTGTACATAGGGTCGCTATGCATTGCAGGTGACTCAATGGCACATAACAACAACAACATACTATGACAGTTTTGGAAGCAGGAGTGGCATCCACTTCCTACAGAACATGACTCTGGAAACTATGAACTTTGATAAAATGTCAATAGCTGTAGAGGGGTTTCTGGCCTTTTGTTCATAGGGGCACTATAAGTCCTGATTAACTTGAAGGCAATCAACAACAACAACAACAGCAACAACATGTTCCATTTGTGTTCAAGTTCTGTATGCTCATGAAATTGTTCATTTTCTGTTTTGTGCTCCTGAGTTTGTTGCTGTCATTTCCCTTAAAAATCTATAGATCCCCATTCTTTATGTAAAATAGATAGTCTTATGCTTATGAGTATTCAGAAGAATACATTTCAGATGAAATATATGAAATAAAAACAATTATTTCAGGACTGACTTACAGCTTAACATTCTGCAGGTTATGTTCAACATGTCAGCTTTCCTGAATGTCACCACCTCTTCCATCGTTTTCCTGCTAACTGGTGTTCCTGGACTGGAAGCTTTCCACACCTGGATCTCCATTCCCTTCTGCTTTCTCTATGTCACTGCCCTTTCAGGAAACAGCCTCATTCTCTTTGCCATTATCTCTCAGCCCAGACTCCATGAACCCATGTACTATTTCCTTTCCATGCTCTCCACCACTGACCTTGGTCTGTCCGTATCTACTCTAGCCACCATGTTGGGTATATTCTGGTTCAATGCCAGGGAGATCAGCTTTAATGCCTGCTTGTCACAGATGTTCTTTATTCAACTTTTCACTGTCATGGAATCCTCAGTATTGTTGGCCATGGCCTTTGATCGCTTCGTGGCAATTTCCAATCCTCTTAGATATGCCACCATTTTAACGGATCTGAAAATCGCCCAGATTGGCATAGCCATTGTCATCAGGGGCACATTAATCCTGACTCCTATGGTTGTACTTCTTAAAAGATTGTCTTACTGCCACAGCCACGTGCTCCACCACTCCTACTGCTTTCACCCCGATGTGATGAAGCTCTCTTGCACAGACACCAGGGTCAACAGTGCTGTTGGTTTGACTGCTCTGATAACCACTGCTGGGGTGGACTCCGTTTTCATTGTCTTTTCATATGTTTTGATCATTAAGACTGTTCTCAGCATTGCGTCCCCAGAAGAGAGGAAGAAAGCCTTTAACACCTGTATCTCCCATATTGGGGCTGTTGCTGTCTTCTATATTCCATTGATCAGCTTGTCTTTTGTTCACAGATTTGGGAAACAAGCCCCACCCTATGTACATACATTGATTGCCAATGCTTACTTGCTAATCCCCCCAGTAATGAATCCCATAATCTACAGTGTCAAGACTAAACAGATACGCAGAGCTGTGATAAAAGTTCTCCTTTCCAAGGTGCAAAAGAAGTAAAGGAGTTTTTAAATTGTCAATTAAAAAGAATTAATTTAATTTTCAATTTAAATTTAATTCAATTCATATTTAATTTTCCATTAACAAACTTTGAATTTAAAAGGTCAAGTATTGGTCACCTTGTCGATAATAAAAATGACATTCTGAGAGGTTAAAATATTTAGAATCTTATTTGAGCTGAAATTTTTCATAAAGGGTTTCTAAAAAAAATCACCATTTTCTTGAATAAACCACAGTGAAATAAAAAACATTCATTTAAGATTAAATATTGTCCATATTTCAAAAAATCCATGATCCAGTTTGACTTACAAATGTGACTTTAGTAAAAAATAGGGGGGGGAAATGAGATTTCTTGTTTTAAAATTTTATAGTGTAGAGAAAAAAAATATAATAATAGCTGATAAATGAGAATAAAATATATATTAGCAATTGTAAATAACTGAGTCTGGCAGCATAGTCCGAGAGAGTGGAGTTGCTAAGCCAGACGCCAAGTCACTCAGGAGATCTGAATTCACCAGTGACTGTGAGGGAGACAGATGAACAATCTCCTCCCATATGATTTACAGCCTCAGAAAACCAATGGAGGGTCAGCTAGGAGTTAATTTCTCCTGATGGCAATGAGTTTGAATTTCACTATATAAATAAATCATAGACAGTGTATATTTTCCAATGGTTAGTGAACAATCCCAAATATTTTTACCTTATCTCCTTGTGCTGGTCTCCTCAGGCTCCTAATTTAGCAATTTCATTTCCTCAGTGATAAAGATTTTACTTTTCTGTCAGAAGTCCAAGCTTTTTATGCCATTTTTCTTGCTTCTGTTCTTCAGAGAAGATTTCTGTGATGAATAAATCTTAATCTAACTCCATTCTGAATTATTTCCTCAGAATAATTTAAGTTTACAATTTAATAAACCTCTCCCTGTGTTTGACAAATATTATTCCCAAGGAAATAGATTTTATTTGAAGTACCAAGATAAACAGACACAAATTACTGAAATATCTTAATCTGGTTGGATTTCTAGTACTATTTTATGTTCCTCTATTCAAGGGAATTGAAGTACTTATCTCAGTGAGGTTCTGGTCAAGAAAACAGAACCACACCACTAATTTTTACAGGGAGTATTTAATATAAGGGCCTTGGTAAACAAGTATTTATGTGCCTTTGGGTAAAAACTGACCCATAACTGACCTTCCAGAAGGTTTTAAAAGACTGAAAAATCACATGGGAAGAGATTGTTCATCTTTCTCCAATGTAGCAGCTGGTGGATTTGAACCACCTGCCTTTGGATTAGCGGCACAATTCTACCTACCAGGGCACTGTAATTTCCAGTTAGAAGCTTGAAAAAACAAGATTTTCCAACTCTTGTGCCACTGAAACATACTTTTTAAGGTAGTAGAAACATTGAGGCAAATGTCTTTGTGATATAGATAGATAGATAGATAGTATGGTTAGTGGAACAGAAATTTTAGAAAGCTAAATATTTCATTGCGCTTCTCCAATCTAACAGATCAAACATTGACACTTTATCAAGATTGTTCCTACGTACCCTCTGTATGTACATTTGGCTATGGCTTAGCATGGTCTTACTTTATCTGGAATATAATTTTTTTATCTTTCATAGATTAATTGTGCTATGACTTTCACAGGTGAATATATGAATTAACATTTTCTGGATATGTTAAGGAATTGTCTTTTTAAAAACTTTCTTACATTTTTAAATATACAAGTTTTATTAGGAAGTGATTAACATGCCATATAGTTCCTTTAATCAGAGTTCCAAAATAAATGTGTGCAAATAATGTTTATAAAGTTGTGTAACTTCACCACAGTTAGTATATGTCTGTAATTCCACATAATAACCCAGTCCTCTTCATCAATCACTTCCCACTTCTCTCTACTTCCACCCCAAGACCACTACTACTCTACTTCCTGTCTCTGCAGATTTATTCAAACATTCCATGTAAATACAATTGTACAGTATGGGGTCTTTTGTGATTCAGTTCTTTCACTTGCTTAATATTGTTAACATGTACGTTATTGACAAATAATATTCTATTGTAAGTGTATATTCACCTTGTGTTGTTATGTGCCATCAAGTTGCCTGCAACTCATAGCAACCCTATGCATAACAGCCTTAAACACTGCTCAATTCTGTCAATAATTTATATTAATATAGTTGTTGTTGTTATGTGCTGTCAAGTCGCTTGCAACTCATAGCGACTCTATGTACAACAGCCCTAAACTCTGCTCTGTCCTGTGACAATCGCACTGTCTCTGACACTCCCATCCCGATTATCCCAGTCACTGAATCAATCCACCTCATAGAGGGTCTTCCTCTCCTGCGCTGTCCCTCCACCCTCCCAAGCATGATGTCCTTCTCCAAGGACCTGTCTCTCCTCACAACATGTCCAAAGTATGTTAGACAGAGCCTCAGAATCCTTGCCTCCAAGGAGCCACCCAGTTTAACCCTTTCCAGGACAAATCTGTTTGTTTTTCTAGCAGTCCATGGTATTCTCAATACTCTTCTCCAGCATCACAGCTCAAAGGCATCAATTCTCCTTCTATCCTCCTTAGTCATTGTCTAACTTTCTGATGCATAACAAGTGATTGCAAAGATCATGGCCTGTATCAGACGCACCTTAGTCTCCAGAGAGACACCATTGCTCTTCAGTACTTTGGAGAGGTCCCTAACAAAAGACTTTCCCATGGCAATGCACCTTTTAATTTCCTGGCTGCTGGTGCCAAGACTGTTGAGTATGGATCCGAGCAAACTAAAGCTGTGTACAATCGCAATCTCTTCACCATCCATCGTGATGCTGCCAATTGGTCCAGTGGTGAGAATCTTTGTCTTCTTGACATTGAGCCTCATTCCATATTGGAGGCTGCAGTCCTTGACCCTCTGCAGCAGGTGCTTCAGGTCCTCTTCAGTTTCAGCAAGCAGGGTTGTGTCATCTGCATAACACAGATTATTGAAAAATCATCTACCAATCTTGACCCCACATTTCTCCTCATAGAGTCCAGCCTCCTGGATAATCTGTTCTGCATATAGGTTGAAAAGGTATGGCGACAGGATGCATCCCCTGGCATACTCCCTTCCCAATTTTGAACCATGCAGTGTTCCCTTGCTCTGTTCTGACGACTGCCTCCTGGTCCAAGTATAGGTTTCGCATTAGAACGATCAAGTGTTCTGGGATTCCCATTCTTCTCAGAGTCAGCCATCTCTCTTTTAATTGGATTCTTTGTATCATTCTTTGACATATTTACATCAATGTGTGTGTGTGTGTGTGTGTGTGTATGTGAATTTAGCACTGTCTTATTTTCTAACCCTACAGAATACTGTCCTAATCCTTCTAGAATAAGCCATTTGAACTAGAAACACGGCTTAGCTTGTTTTAAGTCAACTTAACTTATAGTGACCCTTTGTACTATGGAACAAAAAACAAGATGCCAAGCCATCTTACAATCTGATGTTGCTATCTTCATAATCTCTCCACTGTGTCAATCCATCTCATTAAAGATGTTCTTCTTTTTCACTGATCCTATCAAGCAGACTGCCCTTCTGCAGCTTGTTGTTAGTTGCTGTCGAATTGCCTGCAACTCCTAGTTATCCTATGTACAACAGCTCTGAACTCTGCTCTATCTTGAACCAAGTTCATTGTCTCTGACACACCTACCGCTGTTACTCCAGTTAGAGTCTATCCATCTCATACAGGGTCTTCCTCCCTTGTGCTGTCCCTCCAACTTTCCAAGCCTGATATACCTCTCTAAGTACTGGTCCTTCCTGGCACCATGCCTAAAGTGTGTGAGACAGCTTCAAAATCCTTGCCTCCAAGGAGTAGCTTGGTTTTACCTTTCTTAGGATAAAACTGCATGTTCTTTTAGCAGTCCATGGTATATTCAACACTATTCTCCAGCAGCACTTCAGAAAAGCATTGATCCTTTTTCTATCATCCCTAGTCATTGTCCAGGTCTATGAGGCAAAGCAAGTAATTGAGAAGACTGTGGTCTGGATCAGGCACATCTTAGTCTCTAGACTGACATCATTGCTCTTCACTACTCTGGAGAGGTCCCTGACAGCATATTTCCCGATGCAATTAATCTTTTGATATCCAGGCCACTGCCATGAGTATTGATTGTGAAACCAAGCACTGAAGCTGTTAACAATCTTAATATCTTCTCCATTTATCATGATCTTGCCAATCAGCCCAGTGGTGAGAATCTTTTCCTTGATGTTAAGTTTCAATCCATATTGAAGGCTGTAGTCCTTGACTTTTTTGCAGACATTGCTCCTCTGCAGAAAATGTTGCAGATCCTCCTCAGTTTCAGCAAATAAGATTTTGTCATCTGCACAACACAGGTTGTTGATGAGCCTTCCTCCAATCCTGATGCCACAGTCCTCCTCATAAATTCCAGTGTCTCAGATGATTTGTTCTGCATATAGATTGAAAAGGTATGGAGATAGGTTGCATCCCTGGTGTATACCTTTCTTGATTTTGGACCATAAAATATTTCCTTGATCTGTTCTGACAACTGCCCCCTGGTACAAGAATAGGTTTCTCTTAAGCACAATCAAGTGTTCTGGATTTCCCATTCTTTTCAAAGTCAGTCACAGTTTGTTGTGGTCAAAACAACATGCTCAAAGTGTTGAGACAAAGTCTTACTGTCTTTATTTCAAAGGATCATTTTAATTATACTTCTTCAAATATTTATTCTTTTAGCTGTCCAAATATATTTAGTATTGATTGCCAACATCCCAATTTAAAGGCATCAATTTTTCTCTAGTCCTCCTCCTGTAATGCCCAGCTTTCATGTGCATATGAGGCAATTAAAGACATCATGGCTTGAGTTAAATGTGCCTTCTTAGTCTTCAAAGTGCCAAAAAAATTCTTGGCGAACATGTGAATCCAAAGTAAAGTAACATATCGGATAACGTCTATCTTTTCTTTATCTCTCTTAATGTGGTTTATTGATCTAGTTGTAAAGTTTCAGTCTTTGGTGG